TCCTTGTTTACCTAGAATGGTATCAACCAGTGCGTGGGACATTTTCTTATCATAAGCTCGTAATGGCGGTAACCATTCTTCAACAAGTGTATCTTACCCCTTCCTCTAAAAGGTTCAACAGAACTCTTACTTTAAAATCCTCCACTAAATCATTTACTCACATCTTAACACCAACTTTACCAAAGACTGATTCTTCAGTAACATGCTGGCAAAAGCTAAGCCACCCTCTGATCGGAGGAAATTTTCTGACAGGTTCTATGAATGAAACATGATACATTAGTACCAAAAGATGGCAGCTGTGATCAGTGTACATTTAACCCTTTAACTCCCAGAAGTGATTAACATGTAACATCTCCTTAGAGTATTCACACATTATCTAGCAAACAAGTTGTGAGAATACTCAAATTTATCAGGTACAAGATATTACCTTGATCAAACCCTAAATCTCATAACCACTTTACAAGGAAAGTGTAGCAGCCAGAGCGGAGAATTAACAATCAGATCTTGGGAGTTAATTCATGGCATAAAGCTGCATCCAGAAACAGAAGAGACCACAATGAGCCAAACAAAATCACTGCTTTGTTAAACATGGTGTAAATCATTTCCTTTTTATCAACATTTTGTATTCACAGTGTACTCCTACTCTATATTTAAAGTCAAACAAGTCGAAATTATTCAAATCGATTTACTGATTAAGAAATTTCTCAAGAAAAAGTTTAAATCAAGCCTCTGTGCAGTTACTTGTAATGACCTTTATGAGTAATGGTATGTGCTAACTGTGAGTGTTTGCCACACATTCGTTATCACATGTAGCCAATCATTCAACAGACTGATTTCACAGTGCCATGCCTGCCAGTTCCTTTAGGGGTCATGGCTAAGTTGCCAAGGTTACACTCTTCCAACTCAGGAGATAACTATGTTAATGACATGTATCCTATAGTTAGTTAAATCAAAATTTTTAAGTTTGATTCTTGTCTAGCAGAGAAAACTTAAAACTTTTAGAATTGATCAATGCAGCACTTATTATTAAGCAAGTTTAGTATCATTTGCGGAAAATAGATTCAACTCACCTTTAAGTTATTAGTGCTAACACTGATGATTTCATCAAAAACTGCCATAAAATAATCATTTTAATACATTCTTCAATAAGTTAAAATAAGTTTTTAAAGTGTCTTTATTCAAATGTGTATCCAATTAAATATTTACTTATCAATTCAAATATGATGATTTATACTAGGAAAGTGTTTATAGAGACAACACTATCATTTATCACAATTGTAAATATTCAGGATATAAATTATATTGAGGAAATCAGTTATTTTAAAATCCATATTTATTACATTTTAAAGTCCATATTAGTACTGACTGAAGTATATCATTGGATACTGAAAACATGTCTCATGCAAATAACTCTCATGGTTAAGTGTTCTTCTTAACACTGGGGAATCTTTAGGTGCTTATTCCATCAGACCTATTTCTGGTCTTTCTAGAGTGGCAATCATTCATTATAGTGAGCTTTGAAAAGGTGACAATTCTGACATCTGTTTTTCCCTAATGTGCTTGCACTCCACTTGAAAATAGTTAACTACACAAAATGTCAGCTATACATAATTCACCTCTGTAGCTAATTCACCCCTATCAACTGACGTAGCCAATCGATGCAGCATAACAGTCCCTTAACACACTGGTTAAGATACATATAGTCAAGTGTTTGAAAAAACACTATTTTTCAGATCTACTCTCATTAAATATTACACAGCTAATGTATATGTAACTATCTATTCCTTTTTCAAATTACTAAAGTAAGTAACTTGAAGTTCACTGAAATCATACTATACTTAAGTTTTATGATTACACTATAATGTCATGTGGAATAGAACAATACCTGGATTAAGTGTGACCCTCAGATTGGCAGTAGCTATAACTTCCTGTCTAGATCTGTTGTCTAAGCTGCTAAAAAGAAACTCTAACCAACATTGATTTCTTGATGCTCATTGAAGCAGATTTTGGAAGAATCATATGAACACACAGAATGGTTTACCCTTTGTCACAAATAATGGCTCAGAGTAAAAGCCAAAGTCTTCAGACACAAAGCATTCAGAATATGATCTCTTTAAATGTCCAAGAAGTAAATGAATGTAAACCATGCTATCATGATATTTCTCTCTGACTCCTTATTTAATTATAACATGCAGAAATAAATACCTCATTTTCTTTGTCTAATTATGTTATAAATGATTACTGCACTGGAAAGAACTCAAATATATATTTATATAAAATCATATAAATTTTTTAAAATCATAAAAGCTCTTTAGAAGCATTCTATGTAGATTCAGAGTTTTAGTAGCTTACAATCTCAGTGATGTAACAGTTGTCCAGCAACATTCTGGCAAGCGCTACCCCTCCAGCTGCTTCTATATAGTTATCTGTCAAATCTAACTTCTCTGTAAATGTGTTTTTCTGCAAAGAAGATAGAAAACAAAAAAATGTGAAGATTTAGTTGTGCTTTGCTCCAAACTACGAGGCATATCAAGCATGCCCATTGCTGGTTACCTCTAGGCTTTTTACAATAGTGACATTTTAATCTTTGTTTTGCCCCCTACTATGTCTTTGCCTGTGGCAAATTTGACCCCACCCTCATAATGTGAAAAGAACCACATGACAAAGATTTCCTTACATTATTTTTCAAATTAAAATAACACATTCAGTCATTTTCCATGACACTGAATGACCTTATATCAAATGTCATGACTTTGAAAGGTTGGAAATTATATTACAGTTATTCCCTGGCTTCCTGGGTTTTCAATAATCCATGTAAACCCTTAAGTTAACCCTTAAGCCCTTAAGAGTGGCAAGCTTCTAATTTCTCCCAACATTACTACCCCTGAATTAAACATTGAGGTCACAAGAATAAAGGAAATGATCATGAACCCAAGACACTCTTAATTATTAGACAAATTCTCTTTATAAGTGACATAGGAAATGTATAGAGAACAGTATGGGGAAATTGCATGCTGATGTTAGACAGTAGAGGGTTAATGAACATACAATAAGAGCTCTAGCAATAGGAAATGTTCCCTGTGATCCAAGCCCATGATGTTTCATGATCACTTCCTGACAGTTGAGGCGGTCAGACAGGAATGAAACTGGAACAAGATCTGTTGAAGAAAATTACAACTATTTTAAAATTTTTACTGCATTAAAAAATTATGTAAATGAGCCATCAACCAACTAGATGAATAATCTAGGAAAGGAAGACTCCCAAATATAAATTTTAAGGCCAATTATAATATCTATAAAGGGATGAAAATAGTGATCTAGCACTCACACCTTTTTGTGTTTCTGACTTAAATGAATTAAGAGTTGAGCTACTTTCACTGATAATGGTTAACATTCTATAATCTTTGACATTTAATGTAACATCTGATGATAAAAGGCTACATTGAATTATTAAATAAAATCACCTTTACAAACAAAATCATAAACATAAACTTTGTTACAATTTTTTCTAATCAACAAAATGCAATATGAACAAGTTGTTATCTCACCTCCCTCTTTGCATAACTTGTGGTATAAATTTTTTCCAGTAGGATCAAAAGCTTTTCGTGGCACTGAAAATAAAACAGTTGTTTGATGACACAAAAATTAAACTGCACTGTTACAATTTTATATCAGCAAGTGACTAATTAAACTGTAGTTTAAGCACTACTGGCATTATTAATAGTTACCTGGAAAGTCTTCTTCCAGATCAGTATCATATTCAGAACTTGCATCATGGTCCAAGATATCTTGAAATGAAGGGGAGGCTAGTGAAGCCGTGTTTTGATTTTCATCAGTTTCTGGGAGGGACACCATGGTGGAGACAGATCCAGGAATAAGGGCACCTGCATTGAATCCTGTGCGTCGACGAGGAAGAACTCTCTCTCTGTCTAATGAGCTCCTTGCCCATGTTTGAGGAGTTAAAGAATTGCCTAATAATTTAGATAATTATGACAGAGCAAATGTAGTTTATAATTTATGATAATTCAATTATCTGGGTTGTTAATGCAAAATTACCAATCGTAAAGAGTTTTTGATTAAAGCTGATGTTTGAAGCATTGGCTCTTATTTTGTAATATCCCCCAAATATGCAGTGCCACATTTTCTTTAGAAACTTACCCCCTTTATTCATTTTCAGTTTATAATTAGACTAGTTCACAAATGTATAAATGGAAACTTTCAGGCATGCTGATCAAAACCTTTGAACTCAGGCATGCTCATGTATGCTGACTAATTTACTGCGCCAGATGAGACTACTTGCACTAACAAAGCCATGAGTATGCCTTTATTCTAACATGCAAATGTCTTTGTAAATAATGTAGTAAATAATGAACCAGAAATTTACATAACTACAATTTCAAAAGGGCTAACAGATTGCAGGCCACCTTGAAAAAATGGCAACTTAACAAATCAACATTGGCTTGAGGACAGTCTCACCATCTGTACTCTTATTGTCAATGAGATTTGTCATTACAGTGGTCAAAATGTTGTGGATTATGAGATGCAAGTGAGAGAGTCTGCAACAAATTATTACCTCTATGATGACAAATATCACTGTGGATATTGATATAGACCACACTAAACCACTGTCAGTTTGATTTTTACCACAATATCAATCTCAAATAAAAGGATTCTTTCAGTGACCAGCACCTGACACATTGATGCAAGCAGCATTGTCTGTACCCTTATCAACAATGGCAAATTGGCCAATCAGATTACAACATTACTGCCAATTGAGGTAAAAAATTGTCTTGATTCATTAGGTTAGTAAACTTACTCCCACTGCCATTTAATTTTGGTTGATCAGCGTTTGCCGATTTCACATCAGTGTTTGTTGCTTGTCCTTGCTGTTCAGCATTATCCTTCCAGACCACTCTGGCTTTTGGTGGAACTTTCTTAGATTTTTGTGAGCTCTTGACCCCACTTTTACCTTTTTGAGGACTTTTCAATCTGTGTGTATATCAAAAATATAGCATACAATTCTCACTATAATACCACTTTTTGTTCAAACATTATTCTAATCCCAGTTAATGTGAGAGTCTCCTGGATAGTTTTAAAGAACCAATCCCACAGTTTCCCAAAGAGAAACAAAATCTTCTGAACTAAATTAAATTTAGATTTTTTTGGAAATTTATCTCCATAAAGCAAATAGCCAGAGTTTCTTTTCAAGGATGTTACAAGCATGTTTAATAAGTGATATCTTTTTTAATTCTCAGATCAAGTTTTCCTATTTTACTGACTTTAAGGTTTTGGGGAGAGTCTGAGACAAGGTGGTTGATTAATAATTAGGAAAATCATTGAGTGTTAATTATCTACAGACTGCAGATGATCACAAATTTTTCATAATATCAGATTTACAATAAAATAATCAAGATAATGAGATTCCACTGCATCCTCTAGAACAATAGTTTGAATTGTATATCAACTGTTAAGTACCTGGAAATTTTGTGTCCACTTGCTGTTCTGTCATTATTGCTGTTGAATCCAAATGCGGAGCTTGGTCTGGACTCAGTTGACAAAACATCAAAGCTACCATCCTTCCCATTATAAAGCCCTAGGGAAGTTTGTGGTCTTGAAGTTGGTTTAGCAGTTGAGGTAGTTTTAGGAGGTAATGGTGTAATTGCTCGGCGATATATGACCTTCTTTGCTGCCTGCTTTTTAATAGGTAAAATATCTGGCTTATCAACCTAGAAAACAACACCAAATGATGATTATATTTCAGCATAATTTTTAAAACAAATATCAAATATCTAAAATAATTGACACCATTATGAATAATGAGGCCAAAAAACTCACTAGAGGAGACTTCAGTCTCTCATTACACAGAGCTTTCAATAACTTTTGCCATAAGCGGTTGCCAATGGTGTAATTAAAGCAGCTGGGCATCCAGAAAAGGAGCCATAAGGAGAAACCTAAACAAGAGAGACTGCTTGCAGGCTTACCTGACAGCAGTAAGTCTTATAGGCAGCTGTAAACCACCATTAACCAGCTTTTATCAATATTGAAACTCCTCTTAATATCAAGACAGATAGTGTTTAAGTGGAGGATCAGTTTTATTATTTTAAATGTTATTATCTTCCCTTTCAAAATTATTATCAAGTATTAACATTTTTTAAAACAAAGGAGAAGGAATCCTAAATCAAAGATAGGTCTGAGCTGCAAGAGTTACATATCTCCCAGGCATGGAAGTTGGGAGTGGAAAAAATGTTTGGCATAAAGAGATCAAACTGCAATTCCTTAAGGACCAAAAAATACCATTGATAGAAAAGTAGAGAATAAAATGCAAAATGCGTTTCTCAGAAAAAGGTCAAGACCTTACAATCTAATAAGAAAACAAACAAAACTGCAGCTCATTGAAGCGTAATCTCAAAGACTTGCAAGATTTCAAGATTGGATCAAAATTTTTCTGAGGCTAACATGGTATCAGGGTGTAGATCACAATTCGTTATGGGAAAGTGCAAGGTTCATAATCTACCATTCCTTGGCTTGTTTCTGATTTGGAATCCAAACAGATGTTTTTGGTGTTAATACGTTTCTAGTTGTTGGTTGGTAAAGAATGGATAATAAATGAGGTCTTCGAATTAATTCCTTGGAGCCCAAACCCAGGTCACTGAGTTAAATCGAATCCACTCAAACATTTGTATATATACACCAGGTAAGGTTAATATTGTTAACATTGTACAAATCCTGTTTTACATGATACGTAAGAAATCTCTTGTTTGTGCAAGCTTTCCTTGATATACTTTTGCAAAGCATTTTCTACAACAATTAAAACTATCGTGTGATTTAAATGAAATGATTATAGTTCCTCAGTTAGTCATTAGTTTGCTCATTAAATAGCATCATTATAACCTCTTCATCGCCAAAACATTCACAGATTTTCTGGGATGAAAAGCAGCTTGTCGCATATCAAAACGAAGGAGTTCCAAGCATCAATAATGATGCGGTTTTAATCCTGGCAGGATCAAAGCAGTGTTTTAATTACATCAGTTGCAAGCTTCATTAATTTAGAAAGTGAGCATTAGAGACGCCTTCTAAGACTTACGATCAAATCATCTCCTTAACCATTTACAAGAATACGGGTAACTAAAGAGGTCACGTAATGACATTTTCAAGCGCTGTTATTTCTCTGTTCACAAATAGGGTTAGACCTTACCAAATTCGTCGCTGTAATCGTGTCTCCATGGATTCCATGAGTATTTGTTCCATTAGATTTAACAGACTTCGAGGATTTCATGGTGAGAAGTGAAAAACATTATTTGCCCTACCTTCTTGAAGAAGGTTTTAGGGCATTTAACGCATCCAGTAGATAAAGAACATTCCACTTAGTTATGAAAAACAAAACATAACTGCGGCGCAAGATGTTCTGAATATTTTCCAAATCTCTTTTCATGTCCTCATTTAGATGTCTTAGTTGCTATGCACCCGAACCTAAGTAGGGTAGGGTGAATAGTGTAGTTAACGGTATCTTTTATGGCAAAACCCTACGATAGAAAATTACCATAAGATTTCAATCTAAATTTTTAAAAAAATTTATTTTTCTCCTTTAGTTTTTTTTTACATGAACCCTTGAGAAAGAAATGAACAATGTTACATCATTCTTGACCCTCACCCTGATGAGTTATTCATCAACTCCTCCCTAGCCCCCCTAATGTGTAAACAGTTTATGGAAAGCTTTTAAATCATGGCGGTCACAAAGTCTTCGCCTTTTATTATTCCTTTAGAGAGTGACAAGGGGCAACAAATACTGCAAGAAAGTTATTTTAACCATCTGCTTCCTTATTTCTGTAATCAAGTAAATTTCAAGTACTGTGGATTTTGTAGTGCGGCAATTTGTCTAAATGAAATTCTTGAAAAGCGCCAACCCTCAGGTCCTCATCGTGACATTTCTGACCTTGCCCGACTAAAGAACAACAAAGAAACTTTAGGAGAAGATGATCTTTTTGCGATTGGAGTAGACAGATCAATTATTAGGAGAGACGATGTTTTAAAAGATGGAATTACTCTCGATACGTTCGCAAAACTCATCAGCAGCATTGGTCTTCGTGGTAGATTTTACTACGCCTACGATTTAACCTGCAACCAACAGTCAACGATGTCACGATGTCCGGGGATTTATTCGGTGGACAAATTTCGATCCTTAGTTGTTGAAAACCTCAAAAAACCAGGAACACATGTTGTTGTGAATTACCATTTTCTGACGTTCTTCGCAAAAGTGAATATGGGGCATTTCAGCCCGTTAGGTGGTTATCACTTTGAGGAAGACAGGTTTTTGTTGATGGATGTGTGGCCGAGCCATCCAGTTGGTTGGGTAAAGACAGAGAAACTATTTGAGGCTATGATATCAAAGGATATGTCTTCTCAAATGCCAAGAGGGTTTTGCATTATTGACGCTATCACTTTGTAGAGATATTTCAACAAAGCCAACAGCACGTAAATGTCACGCGACCGTAATAAGTAGGCAAATGATTGACCTAGATGGGTAACACGATGGATAACATAATTATACGAGACCAAATATTGAATTCTGATGAAAATATCGCGTACAATGATTAGAACAAAAACCATTCAATCAGTAAAGGAAGATCTTTATGTAATCATCCTGTTATCAATTCAACAATGGGTGCTTGCAGCCGAGGCAAAGGGGAATATTCCATGAGTTACTTTTCTATATTGCCTGCATGACATGTGCAACCCAGTAAGGCAGTGTTTCCAGAACTTCTTAAGCTCATTTGTGTATCCATATTCATATAATTTTCTAAGGAAGGTACAGAGATATGTATTAAAATATTTAGACTGGTGAGTTGACCCCCAAATGTAATTATTTTGTAATTTACCAGAAACAAGAGATATTTGCAAGATCTCTGTATTCACAAGGCTACTTCATGGTGAGCCAACTTATGTAAGGTACAAACAAGACATAATTTTTGTTGTTGTTGTTGCTGTTTTTCTTTTTTTGCATACTGTTCAAATTTTAAAACCTTGGCATGTCAGACTCAAATTAAAGTCTTCACTTTGTTCTGAGTTTTACAGTTTTGATGTTCAGGTTTTTTTAGATTACATTTTAGACCCCACAATTCACCATCTATGTTTTATAGTCTAATCTAAACGTTTTACATTTACGTATCATGACCATCATTGGTCACAAATAATTTCACTTGGCCAGTATCATTCCTCCAAGTGAATTTTGTTGGTTTTTTTTTTTCTTATTTCATGAATTGCTCTTGTGGATGAAAATTGAATTGGGTGTAACAGTTTATTTGAAACATTGATTTGGTGATCATTCATGGAGTCGAGCGGTCTGTTGACTCGTAAGACTTGTTTTGTTTACTTGTCAGTCAAAGCTCAGACTTTGCACCTTCAAATAGCTGCCTCACACGAATTCCATCAAGAACTCTGATTGGATAAGCGACGAACGGATCAGAGGGCGTCAAGTCTCCCTATTCATAAGACGTTATGTGATTGGTCGATAAAGATCAGGCCACTGAGAAATATAAAATTACGGAAGAGTTCGATCTTGAATCAGTGCGAGTGGCCAACGAAGGTCGCGAGGGAACTATCTCGAGACCTTACGCAACACAAGGGAAAAAGGCAGGATTTTGGGAGTAACCGAAGCTTGTTATTCTTATCGTGAAGATACTCTTTGAACTGCGCGGGAATTTAACCCTAATTTGCATTCAATAGAGCGCCAAGCCTCTCCTGTCATTAATTTTATAACGTGATCTACTACGTATATAAACACTTAACCGCTGTTCTTGATCTTTTGTGGAGTGATACAGATGGCAGAGCTACGACGGAGGCGACCGAAAATGAGTGAAGTAGAATTTGTAGATAAGAAGCACGACGAAAACAGTGGTAAAATGAGCGAAATCACGGAAACTACTCATGAGCTGGTAGAGGAAACCGAAGGACTCGGGGAAGAAGATAGTTTGCTGACATTAGAACCCCAAACGGAAGACAAAACGTCACTAGAATTACCCAGTGTCGACGTAACAGTTGAAGGTAAGGACACCGAAAATGAAGAAGAGAATGTAAGAAGCGAAGAAACTGATGCTCTCGGTGAAGAGGACCAAGAGAGAGCAACCTTGATTGAAAAACGCAAGGAAGTATGCGACGACGACGATAGCGCGGAAGTTGATAAGGTGGATGATGAAGAACAAGATGACGACGACAACATTGAAGACGAAACTGTCACATGTTCCCTCCTTGGTCTTGAGCAAGCAAAGGTAAATTCCTTTCTATTTCTTCCTCTAAAAATGAAGCATTGATTTACTCTGCTTACGGAACATTCTCAAAGGATTAGTGTCGCGGCACGTGTTTTATCCACTTTGAAGTCAATTTACGTAACACAAAAGAAATACAGTAGATGAACAGATGTCTTTAAAATAACGCGAACTTTCGCGAAATTTTGAATCAATATTTTATTCGACAGAACATATTTCAATATGAGAAATTTTTTTCCTTTTTTTTTTCGGACCGAAAAATGGCCAACGAAATTCTAAATTGAAAGTGCTTGGAAAGAACCACGAGGCGTATTGGAGCTCCTTTTTCATGAAAAATTTATATTTTCACGGGTCCAAAGTGTACTGAAAGTATTCAACTACATGCTAAAATCTCTGATAACCTGAAGATTTGTTGAAAATTTCACAGTGGTAGCGTCTTTTTCCCTTCTCTCCAACTTTTTAAAAGATTAAGGAGTTGTTGGGGACGACTTGCAATAGTATGAGAAGTTTTAATATTATTTTCCGGCAAAGCTACCTGTGGTGTATGTGCGCTGTTGTTATGCTTTAGTGTATCAAGACTAAAGTAATTCGTCGGCAGAACTTGCTTTCAAATGACTTAATTTTACCGAAGAAGGCTGTAAATAATTTCACTCTACAGTCTAAATGTATCAAACTTCAAATATGCGGAATTTCCTTCTAGATGATATTAACCCTTTTTAAGAGAAAATATAACGACCTGTAGACTCTCCACGGTCATCCCGATGGAAGCTGTTTTATTCTTTGAGGGCAGCATGAATTAAAAGATTTTACACAGCACAAGGCCACCCAAAACACTCCAATATTATATTTGCTTATTCAAAAGAAATTACATATATCAGACTCTTGAAGATAAGTGTCTATTTAATAACTTTCATATGAAAATGTTACCTTCTATCAAATTTTCAGAAATATGACTGATCAACCTAATTTTTAATTAACTCCTTTCCCCCTAGCTCTTCTAGAAATGAAAGTTGGTTATTAAAATCTCTCAATCAATTTCCCTTTCAAGTTTGATGCTCCTAGCTCAGGTCAAATGATAAAGATAAGTTTATCAACAGCCTAACCACCACTTCTAATAGCTGAAAATAACAATGGAAGGACAACTTTGTCCTAGAGAAGGAAATGGTATATCTACATGGGATGGTATAGGAGAAATTTAAAGCCCTCATTAGCTGGATTAGACAAGTTTACTCAGCTCTCTGGAGAACCCGAATGTAATTAGAACATAACAGCTTGGTAGGTGGAGACACTGTAGCATTTCAGACATTTTTTCCAGCTGATGGCAGTAGGGAGATGTCCAAAATTAAGGCTAGGAAAGTATTATAGAATATTTCAGCTATGGAATGATTCTGCCTCAGAACTTAATTGATTGCAGATGAAACAAAAGAGAGCTGTTGAGGTTGCACAAACTTTTCCTCAGCTCAAGACAATGCAAGAACTATTAAGGTTATGTCCAGTTTAATAGGAACCACAATACTTGAGAGTTTTAAATTCATTGGCAGTTTTTCTTCAAGTATACCTTATAAATATTATTGTCAAGAATAAAAATGATATAGTTTTTGTAACTCAACTCCCATGGCAATCCTTTAAATTATTTATGAGGACCCCTTGGTATCCATTTAAGAAAATCTTGTGAGGAGTTTTTGAAATGCTACATCCCAAGATCAACCTTTCTACAAATTTTTTGCAATTTTTGTTTTTCTCTTTGCAGTTAACACTTGAGAAACAGGAATTTTTGTTCCTTGAAGTATGAAGAGTTTTTGAGCTTTTTATTTCCTAAAATACAATAATCTTTGGCATTTTCAATACCTGCTATTTTTCAAGAGAAGCTAAAAGGAATGCAAATTAGAGTTAATTAATTAATCATTAGCTGGTAGCATCTCTATGCAAACTATGCTAGCTTGGTCAGCTTTGTATATACCATTATTTGGTGTTTCTGGAAGACAAAGGGAAGCTCCTTAAAAGATACTGTCCCAGTTCTGTTGTGCTTGGACAAATCCAAAGATTCAATTAATTTACCATCATCACTACTAAAAAGTTATTTTTTTGAAGGCAGTTTTACTCTGCTCACATTATGGAAAAACCTATCTTAACTGGTTTGTCTTGCTACCATTCTATATTTTTTATCACTAATTCAAACAAGAGTTTGGGAGATGAGAGAATGTTTTCAATTCCTACCTGTCTTTGTTGATTTATTGAAATTGTAGTCAGCAAATAATAAATTTTAAGTTATACTCAAGTTTACATAATTACTCAGCACGTTTTTTTAGGTATCTTTTTATTTAGGGAGGTTTTTCATGAGTTATACTCTACCTGTTAAGGAAATCTAAAGGAATTTGTCATTATTAACACAGAATTTTCCATGTATATTCTCAGGAATTCATTGTCAAGGGAGAGGAAAATTTACATGTTATGTTCCAGACTGTTAAGGGAAATGTACAGGATACAGCAGTCAGGATAAAAGGAAACATGCATGATGCAGCTGAGAAAATGCATGATAATATGCATGAAGCAGCTGAGAAAGTGCATGTGATGATAAAGTCCACAAAAGATAATATGTCTGATGCTGCAGAAAGAGTTCAAGAGATCCTGAAAACTGCAAAGGACAATGTTCAGGAAAGCATGCATGACGCTGCTGATAAGGCAGAGAGGATCTCAAAGAAAGCAATTGAGTTGGCTCGCTCAGGGTGGTATCTTCTTGCACACATTGAACTCCCAGAGTGGCTGCGTGACAATGATTTTCTATCACATCATCATCGACCACCAATGCCATCATTCAGATCTTGTTTCAAGAGTATCTTTAAAGTTCATAGTGAAACTGGAAATATTTGGACTCATTTGATTGGTTTTGTTGCATTTATTTGTATCACAATCTACATGTTTCTTCGACCCATCACCAACACTAATCCATTCCCAAAAGACTGGCAAGAGAAGCTAGTGTTTGGGGCATTCTTCACAGGAGCAATCTTGTGTTTGGGGTTCTCATGGATTTTCCATACAGTGTACTGTCATTCCATCACAGTTTCCAAGATATTTAGCAGGTAATCTCGTTTAAAAAGATCTTGTTTACAAGTTGCATCTACATATGCCTATGAATCCATAATTTTTTTGTAATAAGGAATTGATAATGACACTATTGAGGATCATTTTTTCATGAAGGATAAGAGCAGAATGGGTCTGACCTGTTTATTTAACATTATGTCTGTAAAACACAGGAGCTCTAGGATGTATAATTGCTTTGAGGAAATTGTTTTGTTGTCAGGTTCTTTTCCCCTTTCATTAAGGCCTACCAGAAGTATTGTTCTGTCTATCAGTAGCATGGTGGTCTTTGCAAGTGTCTATTAGTGTGTTTAATTAACAGGTTGGAGTAGAATGTATTGGTTGAATTATTTCTCATTCTTGGACCAATTAAGCCAATCCAGGTATCATTTTAATTTAATTTTACATCTAATCTTTGGGCATAGCAGAGAGTGTTTCTTTCAAGTCTGCCTTAAGCAGAGATGAAAAATCTTGCTAAAATTCTCAAGGGGTATTACTACTTATTTAGCTTAAATACATATGACTAACTCTTAATTATTGCTTTTTAGGCTTGACTATTCAGGAATAGCTTTATTGATCATGGGTTCTTTCATCCCTCCACTTTATTATGGGTTCTATTGCTCAAGAATTCTGAAGATCATCTACATGTCTCTGATCCTTACTCTGGGAATTCTCTGCATGATTGTGTCTTTGTGGAGTAAGTTCAGCACACCCAAATACAGAGTTCTTCGAGCAGGTGATTATTTAACTTTTTTGTGGGCATTATGTCTTTCTTAATACCAAATCTGCAAGGGATAACAAGAGATAATTTTGAAGTAAATTTTTCACATCCCTTTGTTAAAGGCAAAGTGCCAGATGCTTTTTTTTTTTAAATGCAGTGATAATTTTTAAAGGTGCAACTCCCAAGAAACAAATTCTCTTGATTGGTAGAGTGGAGGCTTTGAACCTTGAAGTGCCTTGAACTCCATGATGACATAATTTTTAGCCTGGCTTTAACTCAATCAGTCTAAATGTTAGCAGATGAGACTGTCGCTGATGTACTCCTAAACAGGTCAAGTGTCTTTAACAGCCTTGTCCATTAAGTAATGTAGCTGGGTATGGAAAAATTATCAGAATAACTTGAAAAAAGTTATGTGATTAGCCTAGAATTGACTAGACAACTGCTTCATCTTAAATTGTTCTATTTTTTTGTCAGGTCTTTTCCTTACATTTGGATGTTCTGGTATTGTCCCTGCTATTCATTTCATAGTAGCATATGGGGTAACTCTAGCTCATCGTCAGGCATCTGTTGGATGGATGGCACTAATGGGCACCCTATACATAATTGGTGCTATTATGTATGCTACTAGAGTTCCAGAGAGGTTTTTTCCGGGAAAGTGTGACATTTGGGTAAGCATTTAAAGTCCAATTTTACCTCTGCATTGATTTTCAACCAGTGTTTCAGTCAGGTTAGCTACACATACAAGATCATGAGTCAAAGACACAATAACTCTTTGACTTTCTTCTTAAGCTGTTAAGCTTGTAGAATAAATGGTGTACCAGTAGGGCCTGAATAAATTGGTGGAAATGTGTCCTGAAAGTCCCCTCTGGGTACCCCTCATCTAGTCAGGAAATAAAACACTACCAATGCTGATAAAGGATAATTTACTGTAGAACCAACAATTATTAAAAGTGAGAGATACACATGCACTCTTCAGTGCTTCTACTGACAGGAGTAGAATGATATGCTGGTGTTGTGGTTACCATGTGGAACTGTTAGGTTGCTGTGTCTGGTGTAGCTTTGAAATGTAATAAATATATATTTAGTTATAAAATCTCACAAACTTTATTTGGTAATGTACCCAAGTTAGCTCTGACACAACCATTTCAGTGCAGGAACCACTTGTTACCAGTTTTCTCACATGCTCTTTTTTTTTCCTCTTTAGTTTCAGAGTCATCAAATTTTTCATGTGCTTGTAGTAGCTGCTGCCTTAGTCCATTTGTATGGCATTTGTCAAATGGCATACTATAGGTTTGACCAGGGTGCTGTATGTGAAAAATAATTCACAAATGTGATTTTGCTGTTTGTTTCATTGGTGAATGTGTAAATGTAGTTTCTTAAGTTAATTATCAGTAAATGAATTTAGATCTGTGGAACAGAGTCTTGTATGTAGTGTAAAGTTAAATTTCTTCATTTTGTTGCTGGTAGATTTGTACACATTCTATTTTACACTTAGGTTTTCCCAGATTAAAATTAAGAATAACAATTTGTATATAGACTATATTTGCTAAAGAAAGCTTGAAAAGATGTGCTCAAGGCCTCCATCAAGTTGTCTTTTACTTTGTTATTAATCAAATGTTTTCTTAAACCAGTTTTCAGCAAGGGATGTTTTTGATAGCAGTATTTAATATGATGGTTTGTTGTAGATTAACAATTTGATACAAGAAATGCATTACACACACTGATCATTCAGGTGTTAAAACACTATTGTGGCTTTGTAGAGTTAATTAATTTGAGAGAAAGGAATTGAACAAATAATTTTCAATCAAAGTTATTTTTTTTTTAAATATTATCTTCACTTTCAACATAGTTGTGAAAATGAATAATATGCATTTTATTGTTTCTGGGTGTTTTGATATTATTTTTGTGAAATAAATTATTATTATTAATTTTGGGGGGTATTCAATTTTAAGGGCTGTCTGCCAGAGAATCTTTAGAGACAGTCAAAGTTATATGAGTGGTTTTTGACTTTTACTATTGTGGGAGAAAATTATTATAGGGAAAAAAACTGATGGCATTTTGTCTTAAAATCTGAGATGTTGAATTGGGAGATCGTTTCCTAAAAGATTTTCACAAAACATCTCTTCTTTACTTGAAAGTCATGGATTTACATTGTAAATAGTTTTATATTATGTCATCATATCATCATTGTTGGCGAAGATGACTGGTTTGAAAATCCAGCAGATTTCTTTGTTCTAGTGTTCTAGCTTAGTGTGGGAGTTCCCAACATAAACTACAGCACGGTGGTTTTCATTGTCGATTTTTGTCCACACTCCTAACCAGTCACCCTCTCCAACAATGGTGTCATTAATTCCCATCAAGAGATGTTGCATTTATTTTCAATAGTGTAAAAATACATTGTGCATCTCTCTGGAAAGTGGCCAATTGTATGTAAGCAATATTTTTTTGTTTAAGATCTAATGTTTCTCATTTGGCAGGCCCAGATGGCTAATATTAATAACTAAGTGATATTTTTACTTGCCATCTTATTATTGTAAAGAGGTGTTTGAAACCATTAAAGGCAGTTATTTAACCAAGCAAAATATGTTGTGAGGTAGTTTACAGGTGTAAAGTACACACGATCCGTCATCCCGGTCTCAAAAAACAAAAGGCACGAAACATACTGCTCTTCAAGTTTTGACAACTTGAATTGGTGATCTGTATTGAAATCTTTTACACAAGGAAAAAATGTACAAGGAGGAAAATGTAGATCTAGTATCGAACTATTCCGTATTGTGAATAAATTTCAGCTGAAGATAAAAGCTGGAAACTGGCCTCCCCCCCCGGTGGTGCCATTGCCAGAATCTCCACGCGTAAAAGTGAAACGCACTCCTCCACATTCAACGGACGATAGTCCTTCTTGTCCATACCATGACAAAGGACCCTTGATAAGCGACACCAACTTGTACTGTTTCTTTGCCTTCAGACGAACCGGACGATCGAATAATACATCGAAGCCGAAAAATTGTTTAGTCTCGTCCCATTCCGAAGTGTATGTTCCTGATCGTTTAACAAGAGGAAAATTGAAAGTCGCATCTGTAACTTCAGTCGATACTGTATACTGACCACCTGCACAGCCAAAATGTTGAACACCGCACAGTGTAATAGGAGTGTTTACACTGAAGTTTATATCATCTGGTTGACCACTGCCATAAGACCACCAACCAGTTATCGTATCGGCTGGTAGGATTTTGGAGAATCGGTAACATCGATTTGGATCTTTCAATTCACCCCTTGGTGCTTGCGAAAATGGAAAAGATGCTGTGTCAAGTAAAACGGAAGTGTAGTGTTTCATCATTACCGCAACTTCTTGAAACGTAAGAATGTTTGAATCAAGGACAAAAGATGAAAACTCCCTGTCTGACATCAACGGAAACCTTATTGCTTTCACAACATCCTCTCCGAGAATTCGCCTTTTTGTCTCTCCATCGGAGGTCAATCCTTGCCTTTCACATTCTTTAGTGGCCCACCGATCAACAGCTTTGAAAAGTTCCACTTCCGACACATTCAGCCTATCCTTCTTCACAAAAGATTGAACGAGAGATCTGTCAACTGCAGCAAATTCAACTGACGTCACAACTTCTTCTGTTTGTTCCTCAATCACTTCCCAGCATGGTTGTTCCAAATCTTTATCTTCAAATTTCTGAGCGTGAGGCAGTATGCTAAGCACGTTCGATGCTGCCAAATTTTTTCGCAGATATCGTTTACATTTCTCAGCGAGTGAGGGCACCATGTATTTGTTCGCCAAGTACAAAACTTGCATCACATTACTTCCGCTTAAATTTACTTCGTCACTGTACAAAAAGCGAAACAACTCCAACAGACTCTCGTACTCACAGTCAGACAGTTCAATAGAGTCTTTAGTGTCCGCCATTTGACCATAGAACATTGCAAAGAACACTGGACTGCTCAGAGCGAGCACAAACTTGTGAGCTGGGATCACCTTTTTACTTTCACCTTCATCAGTCGACGATGCTACGACAAACTTCACATCGCTCAACAACTCGTTGTTGAAAATAAACTTTGTTCTCTCCGCAATAGATGATAGTTTTGTCTGCCAGTTTTCTTCATGTGTCATCGTTATGTCTGCTTTCGGTGCACTTTGCAGGTCGGTACAGTAAAACTTCAACAAGCTTATCGGCAATAATTCCCACTAAACTCAACCAAACAGCACGCAACGAAGTAACTTCCTCGTTCCCAGGCTAGTTCGCGTGCATGTTTTAAGGTAGCTGGCTACAGTTTTTCCTAAGCTCTGACCGTCAAAATTCAGAGTGCTCATGGTAATATTTACCTGACCATTAAGGATAAGCTTGGAACCAGGCCCCCCAGTTTTGCGCTGAACTCCAGTAAAGGGCGCAAAATATACTCAAAAAGAAGAGGTGGGGGGGGGGGGGGGGGGGGAGTTGGCTATCCAGAGATATCAATATCAGCTTAGATTTATTGGGTGAGAAAGTGAATTACTAACAACATAATTTTCCTTGTTTTGGTCATAAATTGAGTTATTTCCCTCAGTGTATTTTACTTTAGCTTTTACGATAAGAAATTGGAACCATATGATTTAATGGATTGAAGTTTGTTTCGAGCGCTTCAAATTCTCACTGTGCGAGCACGAGCCGTCCCACATATCACATGAAAATGAGAAGGACAAACGTCTGAAAAACGTAAACGTGTCAACATAGTCCACGACATAAAATTAACGATCAGATTATACAAAGCACCTTGACAATTTTTACACGAGCTGTATCTTTTTTAATCGATCTATTAATATAAACTTAACCTGCGAGAAAGTAAGGTATTCTACCATAGCCTTCAAGAATGTTGTCAGTAAACGGCATGGAAAAAATTTTATTATTTTTATTTATTTTTTTTTGTGAATCCAAAAGGTAATAAATTGTGCAGCCCTAGCTTTCGCTTGGCTTAATTTACATATTTATATCATGCAGGAGCCCTACAGTATCATGATATTTTATCCCAGGAGGCATGATCAGATTCTATGAACATGTTTGCTCTGAATGCGTGGCTTCCGAGTAAAACGAATCGACTGTAGAGGTACTTGGTTCTTGCGCTTATACTTAACTCGAACTGCATTTTCCCCTCTCGCATTCTTGTTTTCATTTTTTTTACACGGAACACTACCTCAACTGACTTAAATTGGAAATTACTCGGAGTAGAGAAAAAAAATTCTAATGGACACTGTACTTCAAACATTCGAGAACGACAAAATAAATATGAAACTAAACGCATTAAAGAAAATGCTCTTTAATTTTAATGCATACAAGATTTCCCCTTCTAAATGTCACATATCTTAATTAACATCTTCAAAGTAGCTTTGAAGGTAAACAATCAATAAAATTATCATAAAACTTCCGATCCTCTTAATGATTTCAAGATATAGTCTACACCGACATCAATGGACACGTGTTTCTTCAGTAGAACGCGTGTTGTGGAGATTGACTTTTTACGGAAAACTATTAGGGATTACCTGTACTTTCTAACATGAGAATGATAGTACCAAGGTTCACCTACATCTATAACCTGGTTTTTATCAAAATATCATACCCTTGTTCATCTTACATCTAAATACTTAGTCCAAACCATCTTTTTTCGTTTTCTGGTGTTCATTTACCATTGGTTTTCTCAGAGTAATCTCTTGATTTCGAACCTCTGTTATAGGTCCTACAGTACAATTGATTTTTCGTACAAATTCCAGTTTCACTGATTTAAGCCGAGATTTGATGTAACTAATAGAAACTAATTGTAGAATCAAGAACACTTTCTGTTCAATCCTATCGATTCGGTATTTTTTACAACAAGTTTTCCGCAACGTTAATCTGAAACATTACCGTCATTCCTATTTTTCACGCGCCCTTGTGGAATTTTTTAAAATCCATTTGACATTTTGGGATCTTCAAAGACTACTCCACCGAGACGCTTTTGTGGATAGACGTATGAGATACAAAAGGTGACGAAGATATCTTTAAGTCCTGAGCCCGTTTAAGTGGGCCCGCTCTGCTCTCGAGTATTATTTTGCCTCTTCTAAAAGATTCTCCACAAAATAAGTTTTTAAACCCAAGCCGGTATTGCACAGAATGAAAAGCAAAAATGAATGGATTTAAGAATGGATTGATTAATGCAATCACAATAGTAGCAAAATGCGCTGGAGTATTGAGGCGAACCAGGTCGAAGGCGAAACACAAGTAGTAAATTTGATTTGGTAACCAGCAAAGAGCTATCACCAGAGTTGAAACAGCTGCCATTCGACTGATGTTGTTGCGCATTCCCTGACCCATTCTGCGGCTCAGTACACGTGACTTATCGGTTGCGTTCAAAACGCGTGTATACAAATTGCAGTTTATCGCGAACGGAATGACAAACTTGAACCCGAATTGAGCGATCCCAAGGAATTTGTGGATGGCTGGCGCAACCAAAGGAATCTTGGCGATTTCGCAGCGTTTCGAAGCTGAGCTTTTTTCTGGGCTGTATTTAACCTCGAACGGCAGCAAAGAGTTTGCAAGTAAGGATAACGCCCATATTGTAATAATCTCGTAGAGAAGACGTTTTCTATGGAATCTTGCGCGGTATTGTAGAGGTTTAGTGACAGCGTACCAACGTTCTGTGGCGAGTGCGACTGTGATGTAGATAGAGGTAGTAGCACTCCAAAACGTTAAGAAATGCGACGAAATAAGGCGACAAAATATCTCTCCACTTATTCTTCCCTCAGGCGCGGGAGGAATATCTTCGAAGATAAATCCTGGTGTCAAAAAAGTGACGAATGAAACCAGCAAGTCAGTTATAGCCAAGTGAAATATGTTCACGTTATAAGGACTTCTAAGCATAGTTTTGTTTTTGATGTTCACGGCACACACCATGAAACTTCCTATTATCGTGCATAGAACAATGACGGAGAAAGAAATGCGAAAAAATGAAACCTCCCCTTCTGAATGAGGAATCCCTTCTGAGAAACCGCTGTCTTTTTTTTCTTTTGTGTGATCCATCAGAACTTCTGTGGTCGGTTGAGACGGAATGAAGGCCATGACAAAGGACAAATTTTCAGGGCTCGGCTTCGCCATGTTGCCATGTACAAAGTTACGCGTCAATAGCGATTTGCTTACAACTTCTCACTTTATGCCGGCGAAGCTTTTAAAGGGTAGAAGTTTCACGGAAGTGCAATTATCCGATTTCTTTTAAAAGACACTTTCAGTCAAAGCAAACAGCAGACGTGATTGGCTAACACAGAACCATTATGCATTCACGATGTTGTCGTGTTAACATCCGGGAACCAATCAGAGAGTTTCTCCACAACGAACAGAGGGAGCAAGCAAACAAAATATACAAATCGTGTTATCATTGTACACAACTTGCTATTCAAAAGCCTCAAGAAATATTATTTTGTCTGCAATGTTGAAAGCCTTTCTAGTTGACTCAATTGTCAATTGCTGCTCCAGTGAACTTTGCCCGCACGGAAAATAATCAATGTTTGACAGTTTCCTCCGAGAAATTAGATTCATTTTAGGATATCGTTACTTAAACCCTGCACCTGTTTCTCCGAGTCATGTGTTTTCATATAAGCTAAATAATATAGCACGTTTTCTGGTAGTCTCAGGTAGAAATCAGTTAAAAATTGTGTGATATGGAAGAGCTTTACAAATTTAACAAGTATGCCACAATGAGTTACCTCAGAATTGTGACTAATGAATGAAAGGACAGTATCCTATATCCTTCGACGAATATATTAAAAAGAGTTTGACCTATGGCGCCCTTGTTAAGATTTCGTCTTGACAAGCTAATCTAACTAGTATCAAGATAGCCCTTATATGTTTCATCAGACTATTCTTAGTCTATTGTCAACACTGCGCACAGTTCCATTTTGCCGGAATTATCACCAATGCAGTTTCATGCTATCGTGAATCTGTAAAAGTTTGCATACGACTCAGTCAGAATTTTTTTACTTCGAAGACGTCGATAGTGATTCTCTGTGTTTCTTTTAATTGATTGCTTATACAGATCATCTTGTTCACAGAGACTCCTTTACAGCAAGTGACTTTGCAAAATTATAATCAGCTAACTTGAGCTAAAGTTAACTGAAATCTCTACACCCTCTCCTCCCTCACACACACCCACACATACACATACGTATGTGTTATTAAAAGGCGCGGAATAAGTTTCTGGGTCACATTTGTTTCAGATTTTGGAATAAACATAGTAAAGTTGCTCTAAAACGCTACGGTTCCGCCACCCGTCACGCTTTGTTTTCAATTCTGCTCACATCCAACAAAACCAGCACGTGTTGTATCAAAAGTACGTGCCTCTTCCTTTCCTACAGGTGTGGACAACTGCATTATCTGAAATTCTAAGTCAATAATGCATTTACGGTTGCACCTGACAGTGTATTATTTTTCTTTTACCAATTTGTACGTGCGCTGAAATATTTTTATCTAAACATTACAGTGTTTGTTTTTTTTCGGTAAAACCGAAGAGACTGCAAATTCTCGAATTTATTTTGCAATAATCCAAATTTTGAATTACATTTAAGAGGGCGTTTTATGAACACTCCATTGTGGCCACTATCTTGGACTTTCAAACAGCGGATACAGGGGGTACGATAGACAAAAACCTTGAGACGCAAACTTGCGTTATGCATCCAAAAGTAGTTCAATGGACCAGGCATTAGAGTGGTTTTCCTCACTGTTTCGTAAACCACAATTCATGAAATCCACTTTGTTTTGCGTTCCCTAACCTGAAAAAAAACCCTTTTGGACATTGCTTACCCAACACCTAAATTACTCAAACCCCACCCCCCTTCTCCGTCCCAGATCGTTTCTCTTGTTCTTTGCTAAAGCAAACTATTACATCTCGCGTCTTTCCTTCGGATGATCAACTTGAGGAAGCCTCTCTCTCTCTACCCGATAACTGATGTGAAAATTTTTCAACTTCAGGTTGCGCTACCACATGTTTGTTTAAGGACAGATAATTAAAACAGTTTCGAAATGTTCGATGTTGTGAATGTATTTTTCTGCATAAAATTCAGGTTGTGTAAGTGCTTCGCTGGAGAAATAATTTTGAAAAAATACAACATAGAAAAAAATGATGCTTGTTAGACTCCAACAAGACATTTTAAAGAAAGATTCGAGGATTTTTTAATTTTTTTTCCTGAGAACGTGTACAAATAGTCAAGCAATTACAGCAGCATCATTCATTGTCTAGACAGGGAACCATACAGAGGAGATATTTGTCAATAGCAATTTGCGTTTTCACCTGGAACGCGCCACACTACTGCATGGTTGTCTGGTTCAAGCTCTGACCTCTCAGACGGTGTGTGTTCCAGGATGGGCGATTTAGACACCTTGATTAACAAAACGGCCTGAAACGTTCAGTTACAATTACACTCTTCTCTCCAAAGAGTGAGATACTAAGACTTATTACAGACTCATTTCTCGGTCAATCCAAACAAAATACGGACCCTTCTTGCACAATATATACGGTCGACACTTGTTCACTATAAACTGTTCATGCGAGAAAATAAATCGTGCGTGCGTAATTCTATTTCATGCGATACATTTCCGATCACCCTAAGAGGAAATGTACAAGATAAGAGCTCTTTCCAGACATCCTGTTTCTTCTTTTAGTTTCTTTTGCCTTTTTTTTTATACAATGCGAAAAAAGTAAGCAAACTGTGCGCACGCGAAAAGGCTAAAATTTCTAACCCTTGCTCTGCACGTACATGACTCGTCAACTCTAAACACTTGACAGTGTTTATCCGATCGAAGAAAAGCAAGGGAAAATGAAACATGCAATGAGCAGAGTGGCCAGGAACGGTCGATTTTACCGACAGAAATAAAGTCATCTTAAAGGCGTTTGAAATCTAATTCAGTGTCTTTTATCCTGTAGAAAGACTTAAGAAGCGTATAGATCTGTTTATGATCGTTTTTCTGAATCTTAAACCATAAAATAGCAGTCCATTAATAGAGGCAAAAACGTGCACCTGAAAAAAATCTGGAAATTTCACTCCCATCATCCGTCTAGGCGAAGTACGACAAAGCGTAAACATCATGCTTTTCACCTAATTGACTGGAATATTATTATTCTTATCTTATTCCGCAACAAACCCATACTAGTGCGTGTTCTCGGCTCTCAAGCATAATACATGTCCTGATAAAGTCCTAATGGTATTGCTATCGCATATTTTGTATGGAATTATTTCCATCTAGTAGCGGTGTTGACCTAAAGACACAAAGGATTTAGTGAACAGTCAACGTATGTATTTTCGTCACAACGAGCCTCTCTCGTGTACTGCAGCTTGGGTCGGGTCGAAAGCTTCATTTGAAAAACGAAACTTTTATTGTGTGTATTTCTGCAATGGGTCAGTAAAAAGTTAAAATTTGAACAATCAGTTTGACAGTTTTATTTGAACTCATGCTCGTCACAAAATAATTTCATAAACTTTCACTTTACACAAACACAGAACTCGAACTTTCTTCCTCCCTCACCATACAGTACACCTTCGGCATACTCTAGGGGAGGGGAGAGAGAGGGTGGGATGTAAGTCCCTATTTGATTTCACATTTACCGTCAGCCTTGAACCCTCCCCTCCCCCGTTCTCTTCCACTCAGTTCCATCTCCTCCCCTCCCCAGTGCAGCAATGGTGTCCCCTATTCACATTGGAAATTTGAAGCTCGGTTGCGGAGTTATAGATGTGTCAAACGGATTTTCGTTCCCCTGAACTTGCTTTGATTTAATTTACAGTTTATCACAAATGAAAAAACTTTTAAAATTACAATATCATACAGTTTCATGATAAATTGATAACTCTACATTCTTGTTAAAATCCCAAATTAATGTGACTTCTTATTCTATTTCCGAACAAAAAGCAAAATAATTATTGCGTATCTAGATTGAGATTTGACTATTTTGGAAACAGAAATTATGTAATTACCAATTATTTATGTCAGGTTACAAAATTTCGTGATACTTTTTTTTTAAATATCACTTTGACAAGAAATGTTACCTGGTTACCGGCCATACTAAAGAAAACCCCTTTACAGGATACAAAATTTCCTGAAATTCGCTTACATAAGCCTTTTCTTCATCAAAGGGTGTCCATTAAAATATTCATAAAATATTCAGTTATTTGTAAAAAGTATTCTTGATAAATTCGATAAAAAATGAAATTCTCATAGCATGCAACTGCAGTTACTCTGCCTCAGAATTTTCTACAGCTAGTTCTACAATAAGCTTAATCACATTAGCAATTTGATTGGTTCTTTCTTATAATCTTTCAGAGGACAGACGCATACATGACGTCACCATAAACAATTGTCTGCTTCTTTATTATATTAAACAATTTAAACAAAATTCTCCATGTTGCCGTGCGTCTGTAAAGTAACCGATTACAGAAGACGTCAAAATGAGGTAAGAACATCAGTGACACTGCGCCTCACGCGCCAGTCTTTTGTTCTTACCATGTTTTGACTTAACCTGTAATCTATTACTGGACACCTCGCTTAGTTAGCGCCGGACTGGCGTGATGGAGGTCGAGGGTTCAAGCCGCAGAACAGACCAACATTCAGGCTGATAAAATGATCGAGGAGAATGTGCTGCCTTTGCTTTGACAACGGCAAATGGTTAGACATTCCAGTCTATAAGGACGCTAAGTCATAGACCCCGGTCTCCTGTCTTTTCTCTGTGATGGTTAGTACGGGACGTTAAGAAGCTACCCATTTCTCTCAAAGAGTAGGGAACATAGCTCCCTGTGTTGTGGTCTAGCCTTGTCATTGTTTACACAGGCCTCCGTTTAAACCAGCTCTGAGCTGAACTAGGCCAGCCTGTTTAAATATCGCAAAATACAGATACAATACAATACAGACGCACGGCAACATGGAATCTTTCTTCTAAATTTACATGGTTGAAATATACCATGTTAAATAATATTTTCTTGTTAGGTATGTTAAATACTTCGTGTATGTTGTTAGCAATAAGTTCTCCATAGAAAGGCTACTTGCAAATCCAGGCCATGAGCTGACATTTCACGATCACAATTCTATTTCGTGAAAGTTGACTGCTATCTCCATTTTGTAGGTCATGTCCTTTATCAGATGAACTATCTCAGAGTTTTGCGCAGATTTAAGTTTCAACAAATTTCTTCGTACTTTACCAGGAAACTTCACCTTGGGAAATTTGGAAGAGTTATCACCTCAAATTCATCTTCATCCTGTACAGAATATCACAATATGATTTTTAGTTTCTTAAACTTGCGATCATTTCATTGAGTACCAATTCAAGTTCTTGCCGCTACCTGTTGTTTTGTTTCCCTTTTAGGAGTCCTTTTTTTAAAATATTCGATGCTTTCGGTCGGCGATGCATATTACAGCCCGCAGAATGACCCAACTATTAGGATCCAAACCTCCCTCTTTTACGCGACCCAACCCAAGCCTCCCGCTTTTTTCGCTCCGCTGTAACTATATGCGCCGCTTACTTTTTCGTTTGAACATCAACAAAATTGAGTTACTTCTTGAAACGTTTGTTAAATGGCCTTCTAGTTAACTTAATGAAACTTTACAGAAAAGGTTCAAGAATTCTTGAAGACATTAAATGGTCATAAACGTGCTCCACGAAGCAATTTCAACGTCTCTTAAAGCCACAAAGTTTGCATTTAAAATCGACATTAACATTTCACATTTACTACAAGACAACAGTACCACAATTTCTAACGATTTCGGCTCAGGTTGTGTTTCCTTAATAACCATTGCTTCGTTTGATAAACAGCTGGTAAAGTAATTTCGTGTCAGAGGACGTCATATCTCGTGTGTCAAAACAAACAAAAAACAAAAAAACAAAAAAAACCAAGCAGTCATACACGTGGACAGACAAACAGACATACAAGGAAAAACTAAACGAACGTCAAGTAAGCCTCATGAAAGTTGCCGTTAATCAAACCTCAATTCACGGTGAGGGTATCCTTCATATTCATGCATAGAAGGTAAAACGAAAACAACAACGACGACAAAATACCAACTAACCTCTTCGTCAACTTGTCTAATGTTGTTTTGATGAAAGCAGTTCTCGCATACTCTTTCAGGATTCATGTAACCAAACTGAGGTAGGCGAATTCTCTGTTTTGTACATTCACTGCAGAATACTTGACCACATGCTCTAGAGAGAAAAAGTACGCTTAATTATGACTTATCGGATAGCCCTGTAAAAACTTTCTTGAAGTTTCTCAGCCTTATTACGGTAACGGGCGATGGGAGGGATTCTACGTCTAAAGCCCATTGAAGGTAAACTGCTCAAAAACAGCAATTTTCAATTGAGCCTCGAAGGAAAACCAGGATTACACTGACTTTGCTTCAATGCGATCTGTGATTTGTGTGGTCTCTAAAAATCGCGTTACCCTCACAACAAATTGAACCAATTGCGACTTTTTTCTTCGAGTTTCCCGCCGCTTCAGAGAGTCTGCCTGTTTTTACTTTCATTTCACTTCTTATTAGCTCATCTCAATATTAAAAATTGTTGAGTGGTCCTTGTAATTTCTTTGGTTAGGTTAATGAAAATACGTCTTCAGTAGGGTACTATTAACGTTTTACCAAAAACATGGCGCACGCTTGAATACAACTACTCTGATGACTGCCTCTTCGGGACAAGCCAGCTCTTGATAGAACTCGAGACTCGGCCAACTAATTGTTAATTATAATTCAGTTATCACATTACGTTAGGACACAAGTTTGTTTAGTCTTTGAGAAAGGATAAAGAGATAGCTCTCAAAGGGTAACGAACTGCTCACCTGCAATGATGCTGTCCAGCGGGTGTCACAAAGGGAAAGAGGAAGAAAAATAAATGTAAATGATTACAAAGAAATTTTAACAAGAACACAAGTTAGTAATGAAAGTCATCATAATGCAGCGATTGCAACAAAAAATGTTAAAGGAGTAACAATTCGCTCCCAGATGAATTGAGGAATCGAGGAAGACATTGTAAAAGGAGACAGAGGCCTAAAGGGTTATTCATTGTAACCTTAAGTTTAATGCATATTCTTGGTTTAGGTTCACAGCTTTTTACAGAGGTTTCGTGTTTACCATTTCATTCCTTCAAAGTTGCAGCATTTGTTTCAAATACAGCAGCGACTGAAGTCTGAAAGTTTGAGTTTTCAAGTTCTATTCGTAGGATTTTAAAGAAGAGCGGGTGCATAAGTTAAGAGAATTGGTGAGCGAACTTAAATACCTTTCTTCTGAACTGAGTGAATCTCTGCTTACAGTCGGCACATTCCCGCGCTCGCTCATCCGGGACCCATATAACTGAGTCCAGTGGCTTGGTAACCACAGGCTGAAATCATCAAACGTAATAAAGACGATAAATTCTGATCAACCTCTCTTGTTTTTTTAATC